ATGGATTGAAGCCATGCAAGATGAGATGAAATATCTGCATGAGAACCATACTTATGAGTTGGTAAAATTGCTTAAGGGCATGAGAGATTTGAAGAACAAGTGGGTGTTCAAAGTTAAAGCTGAAGAACATAGTTTGAAGCCCAGATACAAAGCTAGATTGGTTGTCAAGGGATTTGGTCAAAGGAAAGGTATTGACTTTGACGAAATATTTTCTCCTGTTGTGAAAATGTCCTCCATTCGGACAGTTCTTGGTTTGACTGCTAGTCTTGATTTGGAGATTAAGCAGATGGATGTGAAGACTGTTTTTCTTCATGGTGACTTATAAGAGGAGATCTATATGGAACAACCTGAGGGCTTCAAGGTAAAGGTAAAAAAAATCTTGTATGCAAACTTAAAAAGAGTCTATACGGATTGAAGCAAGCTCCCAGATAGTGGTATAAGAAGTTTGAGTTTGTTATGGGGGAGCAAGGCTACAAGAAGACTTCTTCAGATCACTGTATGTTTGTACAAGGATTTTCTGATGATGACTTTATCATCCTCTTGCTATATGTGGATGATATGTTAATTGTGGGCAGAAATGCTTCCAAGATTGACGAGTTGAAGAAACAGTTGAATAAGTCTTTTGCAATGAAAGACTTGGGTCATGCTAAGCATATTTTGGGCATGAGAATTACTCGTTCGAGAAACGAAAGGAAGCTTTACTTGTCACAGGATAAGTACATAGAACGTGTACTGGAGCGCTTCAATATGAAAAGTGCTAAGTTGGTTCNCTTCCTGGTCATCTGTAGTTGAGTAAGAAGATGTGTCCTACAACAACGGAGGAAAAAAAGAGAACGGCCAAGATTCCTTATTCCTCTGCCATGGGAAGCTTGATGTATGCAATGGTATGCACTCGATCAGATATTGCTCATGCAGCCGGTGTTGTTAGTAGATTTCTCAAAAATCCAAGAAAAGAGCATTGGGAAGCTGTAAAGTGGATACTCAGGTGTCTAAGAGGAATCTCACATGAATGCTTATGTTTTGGAGGATCAAATCCAATTTTGAAGGGCTATACAGATTCTGATATGGAAGGTGACCTTGATAACAGAAAATCCACTACATGATATTTGTTTACTTTTTAGGAGGAGCTACATCATGGCAGTCAAAGTTGCAGAAGTGTGTCGCACTGTCTACAACTGAAGCGGAGTATATTGCGGCTACTGAAGTAGGCAAAGAGATGATATGGCTCAAGAGATTTCTTCAAGAACTTGAATTGCGACAGATGGAGTATGTTGTCTATTGCGACAGCTAGAGTGCAATAGACCTAAGCAAAAAATCCATGTACCATGAGAGAACAAAACACATCGATGTCAGATATCATTGGATTCGTGAGCAAGTGGAGAACGAATCACTTCAAGTCAAAAAGATTCACACGAGTGAAAATCCTACAGATATGTTGACCAAGGTGGTACTAAGAGACAAGTTCGAGCTATGCAAAGAACTTGTCGACATGAACTCAAACTAGAAGACAATGCTACCTCCTCTTGATGAATGAGACTGGAGGGGGAGATTGATGGTGTCCATCTCATTCAAAAGGTTTGGTAGCCACCCTTGTTGAATTGGTATTAGTTTGGTAGTCAACCTTGTTGAATTGGTTTGGTTTGGTAGCCATCCTTGTTGAAATTGTGAAAAGTGTGTGCAAAATTGTCAAATATTGTAAGTTTTAGAGAGTGAGGTTTTGGCTATAAAAGGAGAACTTCAACTCTCATTTCATCACACCAACAACGAGAGAAAAGAGAGAGACCAATGTATTCCATAAACTATAAGAAAATAGTTTAAGAAAAAAAATAGAGTGTGAGAGATATTGTAGTGAGGTGAAAAAAGCAAAAGAGTGTTTATTTCTTTTGAGGGTGCAGTGGTCTTAGGAGTATTTTTACTTGTTACTACACAGTGTAAAATTTCCCGCTATAGTGATATCAATTGCTCTTCTTGGCCGTGGTTTTTCCCTTATTCAGAAGGGTTTCCACGTAAAATCTTGGTGTCATTATTGCTGCATTTCTATTCTTGCTGATTTAACCAAAACTTAGTGTTCTGCGTTTATCACTAATACCGTGAATATTATTTTTACGGGTCTATTTTTCCCAACAGTCGCATGGTTATCGTTGTTATAATTTGTGCCATGTAGTTAAGTAATTATTTGGCTTATAGCACAATAATTTACACAAGCAAGATTGTGGCAAACATATACGGCATCCATCAATGCTAAATCGACTAATTTTCAAGTTTTAACTAATCAATTTCAAATATTAAACAACTTGTACTCTTATAGAAAGGCTTATTAAAAGACGATTATTATGATATGTATGTTTATTACATTTAATATCTTCTTCACTGAGTAAAGAATTATGGATTCACCAGATTAAATTGTGATTTTACCACAAAATATGGTATCTTGAATGATTAAAGAATGGTTTCATGTAACATGGCTTACTAATATTTTACATTATTTATTAACTCATCGATGAAGTTGAAAACCATGGAGATCTGCGTTCAAATTCCTATAAAGACAAAATAAATTAGGTAATATTTTTTTATCTATCTAAGTTTTGGGTGACAAAAATACTCAATATTTTTTACCTAGCTATACTATAATAGAAACCTATTTACTATATTTATTTAAGTTCCTTGTTAATTACTTTATATACCTATATTTACTAGTTTTATACAAAACCATAAAAAAGAGGAAATGCAACATACCTTAAATATAGCGTATCAGTTACACATAATTCTCTACATTTAAGATTCTCTTCCTTTTCCAAAAGGATTACAAAAACATCTTCAATTTTGTACTTACCCATCGTAAAAATTCTCCCTTGCCTATTGATGCCCAAAATCTTTCTAACCCAAAACTCTCGCTTACTCACTCCTCTTCCAAAGCTTTTGATATCCGATTTCTCTCTTTCAATCATCCATTGTTATCCCCCAAAAGTGAAGATTCTTTTTTCTTCCACATCTTTTGATATCCGATTTCTTTCTTTCAATCATCCAAAATCTCAAGAAAAAAATTCAAAATTTTGCTCTACAATCAAGTTGTGGGTAAGTTGTGGATACAACACTAATACAATACTAATACTATTATATTAAATGTTTAATGTAGAGTTGTGATTGAAACTTGAGGAAAATAAAGATCATAATTGTATCACAATTTTTAGAAATGTATCGTAATTGTATTATAATTGTATATGTATCATATTTTTTGCAGGACTTGCATTACAAATTTATGATAATTATATATGTTACGAGCAGTTGTGAAATTGTGATGAATTTCACAATTTGTATCACAAATATGATAATTGTATATTAATTTATTAGTATTGTATCAGGTATTATTTTGGATATTAATGTATCAGATACAAGTTAGATTGAATTGTGATACAAGTATGATACATTTGTGTTTTAGGCATTGATGTATCTGATACAATTCAACTACAATTATGATACAATTATCATACAATTTCTGAATATTTTTTATAATATAAAGCTGTAGGCAATAGTGAAGAGAGAAGATGGAGATTGTGGATGTAGATTAAGGAATTTTGATTTTTTTTTAAAAAAGAGAGAGAAGAGGAGAAGGGAAAAAAAGAAAATGATGTAATTGAATCCCATAATTAAAAGCACTAATAATGGGGTGAGAGCCTTTTAAGAAGCAATGTATACAAGTTGTAAGAAAAACCTAGATACTTATTAAAAACTGTAAAACATAAAGAACATAGGTAAACAAGTTTCTAATATAGTATGACTAGGTAAAAATCCCAATAATTAATAGATGTAAATTTGACCCAAACATCACCTTTATTAAAAAAAGAAATTACTCCCGTTTCATGGTGTACATTATTATCCTCTTAATCCAATAATAACTCTGATTAATGATGCAGGAATTTATTCATGAGGAATCTATTTAACCACCCCAAGTAACACGTGATTATAAGCTTCAGCTATAGGTAGGCCAACAAACGGTGTCGTACCATATTTACAGTTAAAACTTAACCAGAAAAACAAAAAAATTGAAATGCAAGAAAAGAGAGAAAAAGATCTCTCCATTTTCTCTCGCTCAATTTCTCAGATTCGCTTTCGTTCCTTGTTCTCCCTTTTCTGGTTCTCGAAGACACTTCTTTCCTTTTATCGGGCACGATGTTATAATTACATTGTTGTTTAAGGCACCCAGGCATTCCACTTTCAGATTCGCTGTTTTTTCTTTTTTGGGTAATGAACTTCTTCTAGCAGGAGAACTCTGTAACATTCCGATGTAACAATTTTTCTCTATATTTCACTTTCTTTGTACATAATCTAATTTGGGTAACATTTTGTATGTGAGATTTTTTTTGTTTTTGTTTTATGTGAACAGGATATGGCATTGAAGAGGGGATTATCTGGTGTAGGCTACCCTATTGTGGTTCTCGTGTTCTGTTCATTTCTGGGCCTGTACAGCTCTACTTCAATTGGTTAGTGTATATTTTCCACATTGCTGGGTTAGTTTTTCAAATGAATAAATCTAAACTTGTGGGTTTTCGTTTATCTTCAATTTTTTGTAGTGATGTTAGTACTCAACATTGGGTTTGAATGTTTGATTCATATTTGTGAAGAGGCCCAAAGTGTTTTTAGACTTTTTTCATTGAGTTTATTGATTTGAATTTGGTGAGATTAACTTAATTTTTTTTTTTAATTTTAGTTGGATAGTATTTTTTTGATAACTGAGAAATCCCCTATGGCTATTGGAGCAAGGTCCAAAACTAGTCGGGTAATGGCCCTCCCCTCTACCCTTCTCCACTTAAATGCCATGCTTTTGTCTGTGGCAGGATTTGAACACGTAACGTGCGCCAAACCCACAAATCACGCGCTGACTCCTACCACTAGACCTAAGCCCCTGGGGCTTAATTTTAATTGAATAATGTATGGATTAGAGCTAAATGTGGATAACGAGTCTATAAATTTCTTCATAGTGACAAACTCCTCAATTCCTTAATTGAAAAAATTACACATAGAGTACAAAAAATGCGCTGTTGCTCAAGTATACAAACTATCAATACAGTTTCCTAACTATTATATTATTGGGTGTGCAAACAGAATCCCACATTAGAAGTTAGTAAGGAAAAAAAAACATATAAAGGTGTAGTGATACTCTTAATGGTGCGGGGCTTTTTGAAAAAAAATCTTGCGTGATTGGACCAAAACGGATGTGTAGCTCTACTTCATACATCATGTTAAGAGTGTATTTAGGTTGGTCTAGCTCATCAAATTGTATCTGAGCCAATTGTTCGGTGCAACGAGTATAGAGATGCCCAAGTGATAGCATGAAGCCTAGTCTATGCACCGATTTACTACTTTTACCTTTAGCTTGGGGATGCACACACAAAAAAGAAGATTGTGGGCTTTGGTGGCCATAAGAACTCGGATGATGTGGGTGGCACATTGTGAATATCCAAATAAGTCAAAGAATTGTGGTGATGGGTCTTATGGAACTTAATTCGAGGGGGAGATTGTTGGGTGTGCGAATGAAGTCTCATGTTGAAAGTTGATAAGAAAAAGAAGCAATATGTAAAGTGTAAAGATACTCTTTAATGGTGTGAGACTTCTTGGAGAAAATCGTGTGTGCTTGATCCATAACGGACAATATATAAGAGTATCTTTAAGTTGGCTTAACCTAAGACAACATTATATGTACAACAACAACAACATACCCATTATTATTCCACACTGTGGGGTCTGGGGAGGGTAATGTATACGCAGACCTTATCTCCCTACCTTGTGAGGATAGAGAAGTTGTTTCCAATAGACCCTCGGTTAAAACATAAGCACTACATTAATGAAAATATAGACAAGAAAGGACAATATCAAAAAGCCATATAAAAGCATAATAAAAACAACAAGATATTAAGGTGATCAACAATGAAAGGAAATAATGGTTAGTCATAAAAACCTACTACCAACAGAAAGTGAGACTGCGTGCCGATACTACTGTTATGAACACTCTAGACTACCTATTCTACTACCCTAATTCTCGGCCTCCATACCTTCCTATCAAGAGTCATGTCCTCGGTCAGCTGAAGCTGCACCATGTCTTGCCTAATCAACTCTCCCCACCTCTTCTTTAGCCTACCTCTACCTCTCCGTAGACCCTCCACTATCAACCTCTCACACCTCCTCACCGGGGCGTTTGTGCTCCTCCTCCTCACATGACCAAACCACCTAAGCCGCGCTTCCCGCATCTTGTCCTCAATAGGGGCCACACCCACCTTGTCGCGAATAACCTCATTTCTGATCCTATCTAACTTGGTGTGCCCACACATCCATCTCAACATCCTAATATCTGCTACCTTCATCTTCTGGACATGAGCGATTTTGACTGGCCAACACTCAGCCCCATACAACATCGTTGGTCTGACCAACAATCTGTAGAACTCACCCTTAAGTTTCGGTGGCACCTTCTTGTCACACAAAACACCGGAAGCGAGTCTCCATTTCATCCATCCCGCCCCAATACGATGTGTGACATCTTCGTTAATCTCTCATCCCCCTGAATAAAAGATCCAAGGTACTTAAAACTTCCTCTCCTAGGGATGACCTACGAGTCCAGCCTCACCTCTCCTTCCCCTCTTTGAGTCTCGCCACTGAACTTACACTCTAAGTATTCTGACTTGGTCCTGCTCAACTTGCAACCTTTAAATTCCAGGGTCTGCCTCCATACCTCTAAGACAACATTATATCTAAGACGTTAAAATTGTGGAAGTGTCTATGCGACAATAAAATTGGCTTTTGGCTCTTATTACCTTCTTTTATCGTTGATAGATGCATTAGGAGAATTTGATTTTGCTTATTATGCTGCTCCTCTGATTTCTTGACTTCATAGAGCTGGGTTATATTAATACGTACTTGTTTATGGCGAGGGCTAGGAAAAAAATAGAAAAAAAATTACATGTGTATGTCAAATGCCGAGGGTCTTCCGGAAACAGTCTCTCTACCCCCTCCGGGGTAGGGGTAAGGTCTGCGTACACTTTACCCTCCCCAGACCCCACTGGGTGGGATTTTACTGGGTTGTTGTTGTTGTTGTGTATGTCAAATGCTGTTTTTTAGCTCTCCGTATGGATTTAGCTGCTATGCCCCTTTTTTTGGGATAAGTAAACATTCTATTGAAGTAAAAAAGCACAAAGATTGTGCTGTTCCAATTTAGCTGATATGCAATCTTGAGTAGTTCATGATGCAGAGTTTTAATCCAGTACAATGCATTAAGTTTCTGGATAAGTCAAAGTAGACATAATGCATAAATTGCAAGTTTAGCCCCTATAAGAAAGTGAAATTGAAGTGTTTAGATGAGATTATTGTATTTAAATCTCAACTTTGAGGAGTTTAATTAATATCGGCATTGTTATGTATTTGATGCTGAAATTTGTAATAATAATGAATAATCGTAATTTAATTATTATAGTACCATATTCATATATTTTTGGGTATTTTTAATATTTCCCAAAATATGTGCTTCACTTAAAAAAAAAAACGTACGTTTCATTTAAACACTTACGCTTCAATCCCCTGGACCTTGTCACTTTTTTTTTTTGTTACGATTTTCACTTTTAAAACCATTGTTTGAGTAACTGGCACCACTTTACTGTCGTCAGAGCACGTCTCATAGTGAAAAAGGTAATGGCCCCTTTAGTGGTGGTTCAAAGTGGGTACTGAGTGTATTGTATGCCAAAACACTTAGTGATATATTTGTCAACTCACATGCGCGCGCGCACACAAACACATACACATATACATGCATGCATGCATGCATGCTTACATACATACATAAATTGTATTTAATTGTCTCACTTAGAACAGCCTCCTATGGTTGCATAATTTGTAATAGCCCAACTTTGTGTTCCTTTTACAGATCATAGTGATTTTTCAACCACTTCAAGTAAGCAGGTATCCAGCTTTATTATGTACTAACTGTATTAGGATCCAAGATGCTGATTGTAGTTGAGTAAGAAGTTTGTCCTGGTTTCATCATCAAAAGAAGAACTGGTGCAGGAGTTAGATTGGAGAGAGAGGCTTTCTTTGCAACATTCTAAACCTTTGTTGACAACAAAGGCAAGTTTTCTAATATTTTGATTTTGTAATTGAGTTTTTAGCAGTTCTTTTGGTCTCCATCTAGAATAGAATAATTTGCAACTCTCAATAATTGAGCATATTTTTAGGTATTTGATGTCATCAAAGCCAGTGCAGATGATTTAGGACCTTTCAGTCTCGACTCATTCAGAAAGAAGAATTTGTCTGCATCATGGCAATCTGTCGGCGAAGAAAGCTTGGCCAAGAGCAATACAAATAATGTAGAGGTCAGAATGAGAGTCAGACTGAAGCTTGGATATTTTATTATTCCCATTAGTTATTGCTGAAAAATAATCTAACTTGCAAGATGTTGATCTGTTATCATGTCGGATGTATCACAGGGAAATGAGCCAAATCAGATAGCTGCATATGTCAAAACAGAGATCTCCAGAGGCAAACAGGATGATCTTGTAGATGGTATAGTTTGTTCAGATCTTGGCAACTTTTGAGTGCCTCACAGATGTATGAATACTTAGATATACTTTTTTCCAAGCAGATGATCATTCCCAGTTTTTGGATGCACCTGCTTTTTTGGCCAGAAGGGTACTATCATTATCAGCCACTTTATACTTGCATTTACTTTTGTTGCACTTCCGTTATCTCAGAGAGAGATGACACATTCAGTTACAATTCACTCTTTCTGTCTCTCTCTCCTATCCTCCCCTGTACCTTTTGTATACCTCAGCTGGTTGTGCTATTATAACTTTTCAAGTGCTATGCAGCAATTGAGAGAGAGGAGACGCGAAAAGCATGCTGCTGCTTTAGTGAAACAAGATGATGAGGTAACCGTAAAGCTTGAAAATGCTGCCCTTGAACGCTCTAAGTCAGTTGACTCTGCTGTGCTGGGGAAGTATAGCATATGGAGGAAAGAGAATGAAAATGAGAATACTGATTCAAAGGTACGCTTGATGCGGGACCAAATGGTTACGGCAAGGCTGTATATAAGCATTGCAACAATGAAGAAAAAGATTGGCTTGGCTCAAGAGTTAGAGAATCGGCTTAAAGAAAGTCAGCATGCATTAGGTGAAGCAACATCTGATGCTGATCTAACTCGCAGGTAGCAGATTCTTGTTGACCTTTGGATACTTGACCGTTGTTCATTTGTCCCTGTTTTGTAAAGGAAAGATTAACTCATTCATGTTCCTGTATTCAAACAGTGCACATGAGAAGATTAAATCAATGGACCAAGTGCTTTCAAAAGCTAAAGAGCAGCTCTATGACTGCAAGCTTGTCACTGGGAAGCTGAGAGCAACGCTGCAGTCTGCCGATGAGCAAGTTAGAAGTCTGAAGAGGCAGAGCATATTTTTGAGCCAATTAGCTGCAAAGACTATTCCAAATGGTATCCACTGCTTATCCATGCGTCTGACTATTGATTATTACCTCCTCCCTCCTGAAAAAAGAAAGTTCCCTAGACGTGAGAATCTGGAAAATCCCCGTCTTTTCCATTATGCCCTATTCTCTGACAATGTTTTGGCTGCTTCAGTTGTTGTCAACTCAACTATCATGAATGCTAAGGTAAAGAATTTTCTTTGGGATTATCCTGACCATTATCTACATTGCAGTCTTTTGTCTTTACTATGGATATGCGTGAGAGACTTTTTTACTTTTCTTCTGATATCAATTGATGATGTTCAATCCTCGGTACCAATTACAAGCATTTCATAAATGCATGATAAGTCTTATGCTTTTATATATTTAAATATCTTGCATGTTTCTGATAGTGACATCACCAGAAAACATGTTGGCTACATTTTAGAAGCTAATATCGGGTTATTGAAAATACCACTTGTTGTTTTGCAGGAACAAGCAAAACATGTATTTCATCTTGTCACTGATAAGTTGAATTTTGGAGCTATGAATATGTGGTTCTTGCTGAACCCTCCTGGAAAAGCTACAATCCATGTTGAAAATGTAGACGAGTTCAAGTGGCTTAATTCTTCATACTGTCCTGTCCTACGGCAGCTAGAGTCTGCTGCTATGAAGGAGTACTATTTCAAGGGTGCACATTCCACCACGCTATCAACTAGTTCTTCTAATCTGAAGTACCGGAATCCCAAATATCTTTCAATGCTCAATCACCTCAGATTTTATCTTCCTCAGATTTATCCCAAATTGGATAAAATCCTTTTTCTTGATGATGATATTGTTGTTCAGAAAGACTTGACGGGACTATGGTCTGTAAATCTTCATGAAAAAGTAAATGGTGCTGTTGAAACATGTGGTCAGAGTTTCCACCGTTTTGACAAGTATCTAAATTTTTCAAATCCCCATATTGCCAAAAACTTTGATCCAAATGCTTGCGGGTGGGCATATGGGATGAACATCTTTGATCTGAAGGAGTGGAAGAAGAGAGATATTACTGGTATTTATCACAAGTGGCAAAACATGGTGAGAGATCTTATACCTTCCTTTCAGCCTATGATATTTATTTTTTACATAATGTTTTGGTACCTTTACACTGAGTTCCATTATGTGAAACTTATTTTTACTTCGGCTCAGAATGTTGATTATACCATATATCTTATGTTCCTTTACGCCAATACAGAGATTGATTACTTGAAGTGAAATTTGGTAGTATGCCTCTCTCCCAATACCACACTTATAGAAGAATCTTAATTTTCAGGGGATCTTACTAAGTTGATTGTTTCTTTTCTTCATTTGCATTAGAATGAAGACAGGGTCCTCTGGAAGCTAGGGACACTACCTCCAGGGCTAATGACATTTTACGGGCTTACACATCCGCTGAATAAGTCATGGCATGTTCTAGGTTTGGGTTACAGCCCAAGCATCGATAGGTCAGAAATTGAGAATGCAGCTGTGATACATTACAATGGGAACATGAAACCATGGCTAGAGTTGGCAATGACAAAGTACAGGTCATACTGGGCAAAATATATTAAATTTGATCATCCATACATTCGCAGCTGCAAACTAGGTGAATGAAGGAGTGATGAATTTAAAAGTGCAGTTTGGTCTGCTCTGCATAGTCACATTTCTATGACCGTCTTGACAGAAGAGCTCCATATACAGCTATGTTCTTGTCTCCGTTTTGAAACAACCCCCTTGATTCTTTATTCTTCGCCTGATTCACTTGTATTCGTTTTTCGGTTCTGATGTCTGCTGCCTTTTTCACCAGCAACCAATCCTTTTGCATGGAGATGTATGATTAGGGTGAAGGAGAGTTTGTAATATTCTGATTCAGTATATTCTTTGAACAATAACTGGTGTGTATTGTTGAATTAAATCGAAGTGGCTCGTGCAAGTTTAGCCACTTAGATGATGCTGTATTTTGCATTTCTGGAGTTGAAGGAATATAGTTTCTTCTTATGTTTCATGATCCTGAAGAGGAGCCTTGGCGCAAGGATCAAAGGTGCCACTATGTGACCAGGAGGTTATGGGTTCGTCGCGGAAACAACCTCGTGAAGAAATGCAAGGTTAAGGCTGCGTACCTAAGACCCCAATGTGGTCCGGCCCTTCTCGGGACCTCATGTGTAACGGGAGCCTAGTGCACCAGAATGCCCTTTTATGTTTCATGCTCCATTAGGAGATATCCTCTAGATTAGGTTTGAGGTTTGTCTTCTCAAACTATATCATATCTTTGATTTTGTTTCCTCTGCTAAATAGATCATGATATTTTTTTCTGTGCTAAATATTGTGATAGTGATTCTGATGATCTATTTATTTCAACTTGTTACACAAGGTTATAACTTATGGGTCCTTTCTATGCATGAGTGGGTACACTTCTTTTTATTGTCAAAAGCTACATCCGCTACTGCATAGAATGGCTGCTTGAATAAGCTCACTATCGCTTGTGTTTACTTCATTTAGCAGAAGAGGACTAATGAATTGTTCCAGCGGCTGAGTAGACTAAGAGAACTGTTGTGTGGGAAATATGATACTGTTAAAAGGGAGTATTAGCACCTACATATTCTTAATTCTCAGAGGAGAGGATTATGCAATATTTACTTTAAGTAGTGATGGATCAAACATACTTTCAGAAGTATCTAATTTAGTTGAATCTCGTTTTTTGTCCAATGTCTCGGTTGTATTATGCCTTTACTTATTGTGTACTTTTCACTTGTGATCTTGCCATGAAAAGGTGGCTTCAGTACCTAATGAATTCTATAAAGTAGATAGATTTGAGACGTAAAAGTCTTTCCATATAATGAAAAAAGAACTTAGAATCGTTGATCTCATTCTTAATGCTTGACTTATTTGCCTGCGTTATTGCTGTCAAATGCTCGAGTACTAGCAGCATTAACAATATCCTTGACCAAGTCATAAAAGGCTTGGGCAATTTGAGGATCAAATATCTCAGCACCATCGTACTCTATTTCAATAAAACTCCTCCACCACGTGCACTCCACGTGTCTCTAACAACTTTATTACCCCCTATATTTTAAGTTAGATGAGGTAATTTTACTCGGTACGGAGTTTAAGAAAAAAAAAAGACTTTTGAAATTTATGGTCTTAAAAGTATTAAGGAGTAAAACCTTTGTGGGACCATGACATTTGTGTGATTATAAAAGCTTCTTATTAAGGGTTAAATGGATAAATATGAAGAGTTTAAAGTTGAATTATTTCCAATTGTAAAAATGTGTCATTTTTTTTTTGAACGAATTAATAGGGAAGTGTTTCATCTAAATTGAAACAGAGGGAGTAATTACTTTTGCCTATCAACTAGTGGGTTAATTGCCTACCCTCTGATCAAACATTTTGGTAAATCGTTCGATCTTTTCGTGCATTTCGGACCCTTCGATCAGCGGATTAGAATACTCATGATCTATATCAACACCCTTTGGTAATGCTAACGACCACATCAATCATTCATGTGTAATGGTATAATCTTGTTGCCATGTAATAAATAACAGAAGTTACACTTAAAATTATGAAACCATCTTCATGAAAGAATATAATTAGTGGTGGCTTAATGTTTTGGGTTAGATCTGATGGCATGAAAAGGCGTATAAAGGTGTTGTTGGTGAGGTTAAGAGGAATATCTTTGTAGAGAGAAAGTAGAGTACTTGACTTTGAATCATTTTCTGATTTTGGAAGAATGTTGGTGAAGTTGTAAGCTTCTTCTACTGTTCTTTTGCCAAGAATTTCTAGCCCATCCATGTATTTACGTGTCAAAAGGCAGAGTGGCTTTTGGGAGGATGAGATGGTTTTTCCAAGTTTAAAAGAAGGTGAAAGGGCATATATANATTACTCCATCTCACTTTATACGATATACTTTCATTTTTATTCTGTTCATGAAACGTCTCTTTTGTTGGAATCAGTTTAGTCTTAGAATTTCCATTTTATCATTAGTGACATAACTTTGTAAATATAAAAATATCATAACATATTAAGATCATAATATTTTTTTAAGGTATTTTTTTAACTTCGTGTCAATTTAAATACCTTTAAATAAAATGGTTGAAATACTAAGTGTATTTTGTTCACTTCCTTACAACACTTGATCAAAATTTAAAAGCTAGCCATTGGGGAAAAAGTAACAGCTTGCCAAAAGTCTTGATGTTTATCTCCAATTTTACAGTTGATATTTAACATCCAATTGGTGGTTGTGGGGATCGGTCAGATGAAATGGAATCATGACATCGAATTGGCTTATCCTATAATAATGTTCTATATTATATCTCTAGCTTTCAAAAGCTTAAATTAATAATTGCAATTATTCGAAATATTTAGTAGAAATCAATAATAAACTCCAAAATTATCATTTATTCCAACAAGATTATATATGTTATAAATAGAGTTTTATTTAAGGTGAATGTCTATATTTTAGAGAGATTGTAGGTATTTTACTTGGTGGCTAAGTCACTTATTCCCCATAAATAGAAGGGTCATATTCTATTATAATTCATCCCAAATCGACAAGAATTCTCTCTCCTTACTTTTCTCTGCAATATTATTCTTCTTCTTTTATTATTCATGATACGTTATTAGCACGAGACTCTATCGTCTTGAATCACTTGTCGTAAAAAGATCAAAGTGTAGCTGAGGTCTTGTTCTTTCAAAATAAAGAAGTATGAATATGACATTGATAGTACAGGCCGAGGACAATTTTGTCGAGACAACAATGATCGATTGATACAAACCTCAAAATCATTCAACTCTGAACAAGTTTAGTGGACACGCAAGGAGAATATTTCTTGAAGTCTTCATAGTCTCATAAATGAAACTGTCACGACCCAAAAACCACAAGTCGTGATGGCACCTAACTTAACTTGCTAGGTAAGCCAACTAACAAAAATACAACTCAACTGAGATTATAAGAGAATAGAGAATAGATACTGAACATTTATAAATTTACCCAAGATCTGGTAGTACGACACACGAGCTTCTAAGACTTGGAATTTACATACCTAGTACGAATAAATACACGTTCTGTTCGAAAGATATATAAACAGAATAGTAAAACCTAAGCTACTAAGGACAAGTGGCAGTTATATCCGAAACGCACGAACATCTTCCGAAGCAGCACCCGACATCGCCAACAGCTCCGCTCCAAAGAATCTGTACACATCGTACAGAAGTGTAGATCAGTACAACCGACCCCATGTACAGGTAAGTATTTTGTCTAACCTCGTCGAAGTAGTGACGATGCTTTTAGTTAAAAAATGCTTATTGTTATAACCTGTACATTAGATTAACAGTAAAGTAGTTCAAAGCATAACAGTTAAAAGTGCCATATACAACTTGGCGAGACATTCAACAATTACTAAAAGGAATCACAGAAGAAGATTTACAATCTTTCCTGGTACGAGAAGTATATCCAAGATATCGAATCAAACGGCATGGTAACACCCTTCGTGCTTCTATCTTTGCCTCACCATATATATGAATAATTTTGTGACAAATCAATTAGCACGGCAACATCCTTTGTGTGTTCAACTCATCCTCCCAAATGTACGAGTAACAGAACCAACCAGATGACAGAAATATCGATAACATAAATTACAAAGCAGGGAATACTCAATTAACAACAATGGACAAAGATACACATGTGGGCAACAGTAAAACACTAAGCGGAAAGCACGTGACTACTAACAACAATTTAGAAAACAAGAAATATCACTTCAATTAACTAGCATATTGAAGGCCTAAGTACAAATATAACAAATAAGACGGAAACACGTGATCTTTACAAGTTGACAAGTAAGGGAATGAATGGCTAACATGGTAGAAGGCTTATACTAAGTGCTACAGAATAGATATAATATGAGTATAATTATAAAAACAGGAAATATGCATGGTATTTGCAAGTTAAGCAAGTAGAAGGTATGAGCAACACGACAACAATTGAAATAGAGATCAATGACAGAACAACATCAACAAGTCAGGTTTATAATTACGACAATAACAGTTCAAGGTAAAGACATGAACGTATACACGAAAAACTGATATCAAATATAATGCATGTCCCTCATCCTCGCCTGCACGGAAACACCCATCATACCATGACCTCTCGATAGCACACAATCATGACAATATAAATTAAATGGCACGGCATCACCCTTCGTGCTTTTACTCTCAAATGATATGGCATGGTATCACCCTTCATGCTTTTACTCCCAAATGATATGGCACGACATCACCCTTCATGTTTTTACTCTCAATAACATGATATGGCATCACCCTTCGTGCTTTTACTCTCAAATGATATGGCATGGTATCACCCTTCATGCTTTTACTCCCAAATGATATGGCACGACATCACCCTTCATGTTTTTACTCTCAATAACATGATATGGCATCACCCTTCGTGCTTTACACTCTTCTTCACATGATAATAAATATAAAATGGTACGACATCACCCTTCGTGATTTACACTCTTCCTCACATGATAATGAATATAAAATGACATGGCATCACCCTTCGTGCTTCACAATCTTCCTTACCAAGCATATGAATATCAATAAAATGGCAAGGCAGAAAGTATAAATAACATTGAGGAGAGTGTTCAAACGAATATTCCAAACAAATTCCAAATCACAAATTTTCAAGTTAACAATGGTTCAACAACCCTCAAGTACCGTATTATTCAAATACTTTCACGTATCTCATAAATGACCCACAACACAAGTATAGAGTCTAGCATCACAAAAATATCAGTTGTAGTAATGTAGTAATAATTTCGCATAGAGGTGACCAAATTAGACACATCAATGTATTCTCACAATTTCCATCAAGTTTGATCAAGTTATAATAAACTAAGTCTTGATTTCTATCATTTAATATTATGTCCTTAGTATCTAAGAGTCAAGTAAGGCATTAAGCAGTATGTCACGGAATTTTACAAACACAAATATAACATAATCCACCCTCCGAGCATGATTAATCCTGGCACATACATACACACTCGTCACCTCATATATGTATCACCCCCGCATGTAGCAAACAATGATAAATAGGAGGAAAAATTCCCTCAACAAAGCTAGGCAAAACACTTGCCTCGAACAAGCAAATTACAATACCGAGCAAGCCATGCGATGCTCCAAAAATGCCATCACGCGCATAGTGACCTCTGAACGACTCAAAACTATCTAAAAGCAACTCAAATACATCAAATAAAGCCCAAGGAAACAATTCCAAATGATAAAGATCGAATCCTAAATCAAATCCCAAATCTGGCCAAAAATCACACCCGGGGCCATGCCTCGGAACCCCAAAAACTCATAAAATCCGACAACAAATTCAATTAC